GGGATGATAGATGTCTTATATCGGGATATGAGATTTTGGTCATATCGCACAGCCCTAAGCCCATTGATAGATCATTTATTTATCTATCCAGATGTACTAAGTTATCACAAGCAAAGTGAAAATGAAAATTGGTTCGCTTCCCAAAAGATTTCCCTAGTTTAGATGATCCAAGATACTTCCTTATGAGCTAGTGTCATGAGGATGTCATTGTTCAAATAACTTGACTGGTTTCATTTCCTTAAAAAAGATACAAAAATATATTTGATACTGTTTAAATAATTACTTTTGTCAGAACTATGTTAAAATAAACATCTGACACAAAACTAAATTCAAAATGTTAAGAAAGTTATCGTCTGAGTCGTATACAGGATGAAGTAGCTCATCTATTTTTGTACTGTAACGTATCCTTGATCAAAGGCAGCATTTATTTCAGAACAATGCTGACTGTTAGCACTGCTGTTCAGGGCCCAGTGAAACAGAGAGTCACTGAAGCAGACACGAGGGCTGTGAGAATGGTAGAGTCGGAGAGCAGCAGGGCCGGGACCACAAACTGGGGCAAACACATGTCATACGACTCAGCATAAGGCTGAGCTGGAAAATCAACAAAAGGCAAGGCAGTAATCAGCAGACAAATGTAGGATTACATCTCACTCCACCTACTTGGTAAGCAGTGAGCGTCATGAAACCACCATCACGTAGAGCTCTGTCAGAACCTCCCTTTCTGCACTGTACTAAACCTATAACACACTGAAAACAGATTTAGGTGCACAAATGGGTGTCTTTGTGTAGTTTTACTACAAATTAGTTACACCTCTTTAAGGTAACTTTTTGTTTGGGTCAACCTCCAGAAGCTCTGAGGAAAGGTGACTCTTCTATGAAAACAAAGGTTCCAATGCTCCAAACAGCATATGGGGTTATGCACAACTCTGATAGTCTCAGCATGTAACAAAATGAATCATGCGTACATGGCCAAGCATGTTTACAATGAACCAAAGGAGAGTATTAAATCGGCCCCTCTTCTAATTTACTCCAGTGTGTGGATAACCGAGTTGCAAAAATGTCAGATCAAGAGGAAAGCCATGTCATCAATACTTGAATGCCACTGTGGCACTTTTTATACACAATCCATAGTTTTCTCTTACTTTGGTTCAGTTTTTGATGACTTCGAAATCAACTTTGTTAAGGAAGTGTGTTTTTTTCCTTTTTGTCTCTAAATCCATTTGTAATTTAGGCTTCTAAAACAGCCACCACCTTTCAAACCTCTTATCTTTGTACGAAAATGAATCTGTCTTATCTGCTGATCCACAGTGTGTTATGAGGGAAGAACGGCCTGCAGCCTCCTGTAGGTGGCTGGTTCAGAGTGACTGAACTCTTAGATCAGGCAATTTAGATTCCCTGCACAGTTTTCTACATGATGCTGCTGTTTTCTCCAACACTGACATTCGTTTACCAGCTCTGACTGTTGCACAGATTCGCTTTTCATACTCCAACATAAAGATATGTTAAGATCATGGCAACCTGTTACTCATCTCTCTTCCCTAGCATGCAACTGAAAGTCAGCAGCTGACCTATGCAATCACACAAACCCTGCATACTTAATTAGCCTTGGGGAGAGGTGACAGAAAATGGAGGATAAAGGTCGCACTATTAAAGGGGATTAGAGAACCAAAGGACCATCAGGAATTACCAGCTCAAAAGTGCTTTTTTTGGAGTACTAGAAAGGGAAAAAATGGATGCATCTCTGATCATTTTATTCTAAAGACACAGATAGGACTGTTTAAACTAGGGAAAAAAGCATCAAACCGCATCTCGTCTCTGCTGAAGCAAAGACAATGAGTCAATGGCATCAATGGAATGTCAACTCTTCTGTGGAGGGGAACTGAGCTTGGCCCTCCAGTATTTTTCAAAGCATTCTCTTTAAGCGGATGCCAGCTTCAATGAACGTCTCCCAGAGTTAGCAACAACTCCTGGGAGATGAAGGCAGCCAATGCCCTGGAAAAGCCCAACTCTTCAAAGGCTTGTGTGGTTGTTCCTCTGGAGAAGGTGATGTAATCTCAGAAATGTCTCCTGGCTGACGGAGAAAAAATGGTTTGACAGGAGTTAGATAAAACACAAACTTGTAAAAGGAAATGCAAATTTGGAGAAAGTAAAAGGCTATGTAGGCAGGGTAGTGAGTTCACACCACCTCCCTGCCAAATGCTGGTAAATTTGGACTGAGGGTGATTAACTGTCTCCTCTGCCAGCCACGGTGACACACAGAAACGTAGCTATTTATGGGAAATAAATCCACTAGAGGCGAGCAAACATTTTCTGACACCTTCACATATTTTAATCAGCACTATTACAAATCAATTTTAAGCAACTCGAGTCATTTTCAGACATCAACTTGGACAATTCTGGGAAAATCAGGGTGAGATATTTTCTAGAGCAAATTTACTTCAGGTATGCTTAAGTACTGGAAATATGTTGTGTGGCTTAAATGAGGGAGCTGCCTGCAGAAGGCAGGAGGCAGCACAGATGACGCCCACTTGCTAGCAGTAAATGCATCGGACTATCAGCCGAGCTCTTCACACGTCAGTGCTATCCAGCATCACACAGGCTTTACACTGGGATGCTGGAAGGTTAAAGACTGGGTAATGCCGGATCGGACTCTGTTCTCGTACACGCCGCTGTCGTGTGTGAAAACATGACCATAAAACAAAGCAGTTTCTAACTAGTGCAACATGTTTTTGTCACCAAGTCACTGTTGCCCGACTTGTAACACGAGACAGAGGAGCAGGAAATGATCTCATGCTGAACATGTCTGGTCAAGACCACAGTTAACTGCATCTAAAATGGGCATCTATTTAGTCCTGCACTAAACCACGCCTGGACAGTTGTCATCACAGACTAATATCACATAATTAGTCTTACAGTTCTACTTGTGCCTCGTCTGCCGGTCGATTTCAAAGCACAGCGGCTGTCGTGTATCCTTGACAAAAAAATACCGATTTATTTCTCAAAAATGTGAGCGCCACACTTTTCATGTGCTCGAAGAGTGCCACCACATTTCAGTAGTGTGTTAGCTGGATCGCTGAATGGTATCCATGACAACTAGCAGGCCTCACACAAATTGCTGCCTGTCAATTATATAATTACACAACATTAGGTACAGGAGGGTGACTTTTGTAGTCAATTAAATTTTAAATATCAATGGTAAAACATATAGATGTATGGTAACATTGTGATACAATATATTTGCATATACTTGCACCATGAACAACAAGGCGTTATAGTCTCCATTTAAAATTACAATGACAATCAACGATAGCCCCAGAGTAAACCTTAAGGCATCTTTGCGACTTAATCTTCAAACAGCACAAGTACATTTTTCATATCACAATTTTTCAGCTTTGATTTCGCGTAAGCCATTCCTACTCAGTTATGTTTAGTAAGAGAAAGAATAGACTATAAAATGTGAGTTTTAAATAGCTTTAAACATCTCATGTAAATATATTCAAACTACACATAATCTTAAAAACAAGCCAAAAATATGCAGTGTGCAGACTAGTGCTGGGTGAGTGGAAGAATATACTCATTAACTCTCAGGGGATTTTTTCATATGCTTTACATTTTGTTGGTGGTCTATATTCTTGAGAATTCTATCGCATAAATAATTATCCTATCAACTCATAGCGAGGAGCAATAGAAAATCATGGTTGGATCTGTGCACTCTTATGTCGACTTTATGCGCCGCCTTCATTTTGGTTGTGTTGAGCTTGAGTTGAGAGTTGTACACAGAGACCTGCAGAGATTCTCATCATGTAGGGCCATAGAGTCCAAGCACTAATATAATAACAGTGCAAATATAAAACGTATAAAGAAGGAATTAGCTTTAAGTCTTGCATATTTACACATTTGAGATTGTTAGCTCAAAACCAACAACATTTTGAGCTATCAAGCTATAAAGTAGATGCACTACCTTAATTATTTAATAACATATGTTATCCCTGTGTGTTTGTCTAATCAGAGGCTATAAGGTATCCTTCATATGACTGCTGAGTATAACAGGTACACACACAAATCACTGTTTGCTGGCCTGACATTGAATTAGATTTTTTAAAATGGCCAACCTTCATTTCTGCTTCCTGATGTCTAACTTTGATGTCTAATATCATTCTTCCTGACTTATAAACAGTTTTGGTTTCCGACTATTATTAAAACAAGATAACCAGGATAATTATCAAGCTATATTTGATTTTGTCAATTAGCAACCAACACTACTTATGCTGCTATACAATAATCCAAATACACTCTCCAACAGTCTGTGGCATATTTAACTTGGTTTGTATTTCTTTTGTTCTTCCCTTCAGCTTAATTACAATTTAAAGTCCATGTTTGTTTTTTTCCACATTGCATAAATCTATTTGCCCCCAAGTCTACAAATAATCGTGTTATGAAAGATCCCAATAGTGTCCAGAATTATTGTGATTATATTTCCTGAGAAAAATGGTTTAACTTAACCTACCTACAACCTACAGTAAAGTGTCATCCATGTCATTTTATTAATTTAAAGTGTAACAATTATTGAAGGCTACCCTCTTTTTATAGCGTTGGGCATTTGTGATATTTTTCTTTAAACTTTAAAATTATTAACACTCTTGAGAAGAACATCTATCTAATGACATCTTTAGGCATGTTACACATATCTTTTGCTAAGTCACACATTTGCTTCGTTTGGGTTTGGCCGATGATTGCTTTAACCACATCGGGATATATTCTTACAATAAAGATGCAACAGTAGGAGATGCTGTAACTGCTCGATGGTGACAATCTCTGTAATCGAAGCTTAATCGTCAAACGTCGTGAAACGGCCACTGACACGGAGAGGCAGTTATTTTAGATCAATAACATCAATAAACATACTATATCCACCAAGGTCAGGCTTTTACCAGTGAACAGTAAACAAACCCCTGGTCGCTGCGGAAACGAGCTCAGCACCCAGCTCTGATTTTCCCTACCTGCTATTCTCTCTGCGCTCCGCCAGCATCTCAACTCATCAACAGAAGAAGAGACAAGAATATTCCACCATGAGCCAAAGACCAGCCGCTCTTCCTCCCAACAACAGTGTCTTCCTGAAACAGAGAGGCGATGGCAATGGTGTCATGCCTTCCCCTCACAGCAGCGTAAGGAGAGGAGAGGAGAAGCGCGGAGGCATGGCTCGCCTTTATTGGCAGTACCAGTGGCTTTGTTCGCCAGTCAGCACTGTGTGTGTATGTATGTATGTGTGTGTGTGTGGTCTGCCGGGACTGGCACAGCTGATCCCCCCCTGACACCGGGTGGGGTGTACAGGGCTTTGGAGAAAGAGGAGGGGAGGAAAGGAGGGCGGGCTTTGGCCTCAACGACGACAGGAACATACCATTACCACAAGAAACGGGGAGGAGGAGTGGGAGGCAGAACTCACAGCAGTGAGCATCATTAAAAATTCATTTTCTGGCCATTTCGGTCGCCATCCTGTACATCCAAGCTCCGACAGCTCACATTAACTTTGCATTATTATGTGGTGTGCTTTCGGGGACAAGAACAGGGAATGAAAAAAGCATCTCAATTAATCTACACATGTCACACCAAAGGGTTTGTAGTAGGCAACTGAAATATTAATACCCGATAATGTTCTTAAAAACAGAAAAGGGCTAAAATTATTAAAAACAGACTGCTATTTTAATAATTTAGTGGTTAATAGGAATGTGTGTGACTAGATGTTTAAACAATGCTTTCCTCACTAGTCAGCACATACACACTGTAAGGAGACTGGGCAGTCTAAGTTCCCTGAACATAAATCTATGCAGGAATAATGTAATGATAAAGATGTTGGTTATCCCATTTTTGACCCCAAAGAGCCACCCAACAATAAAACATCAAACATGTTAGCCAACAGCATTGTTGTTATTGAGGGCCCTGCACAGTATCTTTGGCATTCCTAGTTCTCCGATTACGACTGAGACCACTGCCTCCACTCTACATATCTTCTATAGCTCCTCTCCCAGGGCTTGGTATTTCTCAAGCTTCTTGTGTTCCTTCTTCCTGATGTTGCTATCACTTGGTATAGCTACATCTATCACTGCTGGATTGTCTCAGGGGCATCTTCGCACCTGGCCTGGTGTGGCAGACCCCAGCCTCAATTGATCTTGTGTTTGGAGCTTGTTCCTGTGCTGCCATGATACGTGCCTCTGTGCTGTCTTTCAGTCCAGCTTTGTGCTTCAATATTAGCTATTAGTTATAACTAAAGATTATTCTTATAGTCAACTAATTAGACAATTTTTCTTTGATTAGTCAACAATTATTTCAATAACTCTTATCTCTGATTCCTATGTGCAAACCTCCTGCTCAAGTCTGCCCAACTGGGAATATCACCCTGTTTACATCGTCCCACAGCAAATAAAAGTAATGACCCAAGAAACATGTGAATCAAATAATAATAATCAAATGTATTTTTAGCATTACTCAATATTACAATCAGAATAAAAATGAAATAAATAAAGATTGCAGGTAATACAAGTTACAAGTGCTGGTAGGAGTTTAAAATGAATGTGCAAATAGGAAACTAAAATCGCTTCTGTCCATTCAAATAAAGCTTTAAATGAAATCAAAAAGGCATCTTTTCAATTCTCCATTTCCATTTTTTATCGTCCCGCTGTTTTGCCGTTCATGCTGCGTTCTTCTTCTTAGCACTGAGTGCAGTCTTGGCAAACAATACAGGCGAGACTGCCCCATAGTGTCCTGTAGTTTAATTATGCGGCAACGAATTTTTATAGTCGACCTCATCGATTATGCTGACGAACTGTTGCACTGGGCAGGATATCTATTTAAAAAAATTAAAATACATCCTTTGCTGACATTGTGTGCATGCAATGTTGTGTATGGTGCAAGCTGTCAAGTATTTCAGCAACATTTACTGAAGAATGACTTTTAAATATATGAGCAATGAACTATACTAGTTGAGTAATGTGATTTTTTTCCTCCAACTTAAAGGACCAGTAAATTAGTCTCCAGGAACATGCTTGGTGGTTAATAATTCCCTTAAATCTATTATCAAAATAAAATACCACATTTTTTATGACTCAAGCTTCTTAAACATGAGAATTTTCTTCCTTTCCTTTTTTGAAATTGTAAATTGAATATCTTTGGGTTAAGAAAAAAATAGCTTTTTTTAAAACTCCAAATTATCAATTGAAACATTTTTCACAATGTCCTGTGGCTTAATAGACCACATGAGGAGATAAATGTCAAATTAATTGACAGTGAAAATTTCCATTAGTTTCAGTCCTGCAGAATTAGTATGTCACACTGAGATTCACATCACAGCTGTTTAGGTGCAGTGATTATGGGAATTTCCTGACCTGAAAATTGGCCTTGAAAAGTTCAGAAACCTCTACAAGAGACTGTAATGGAGCATGCTGACAGCTAGAGACATTAACGCTTCACTAAGAAGATGGTGAAATGTGAAGGACGGGATCATACTGAAACGAGTCTAGCAGGGGAAACGGATCACAGATCCACCTCGCTGAACGAAACCTGCTGTACAATATCACACTTCCAAGGTTAAATGAAAGAAAAAAGAAATGTATGCTAGCAGTAGCTTAACTGTGCGACCTGTTGTGTTAAAAACCTTAAGAGATCTGCACCAACTCCAATCACTCTGCAGTTGCGGTGAGATTATCGTTTTCGTATGAATCAAAAGTGAGAATATAATCCAACATTTTATTATAGCTTCAATGAGCACCACTAATAATCATGAATCACATACAACAGCACCAACATTTAAGCTCATCTTGAGTCCAAACTGTTACTGCCATGCAGTTACAGACAGAGTGTGGGCCATGAAAATTACAGCCAATTAAACTGTGGTGATAAAAAGACCTGTGGAAATCTCTCTCCTTCAGTCGTCCAATAAAACAGCAGACTGTATATAAGGCATTACTCCAATCTCATATATCATCAATATCCAACTCTGTGGCTGACATAAGCAGCTTCAGGTCATAAAAAATAACCACTTACTTCATATAATATGTGTAGGGATAAAACTAAAAATACTACAAAAACACCTTCAAGTACTGAAGTTAGGATGTCCTGACATACTGGCTGAATATCTGCATCAGTACTGGTTCACTGATTAGCCAATAACTTGTACTGCACCCTCGTATCCAAATATGGTCACCTACAGCTGAAAAAACACAAAACAAAAACACAATACTGGCTGCTGTCACTATGGCAGAAGTCCAAAACCAGTGGGTGAGGTCACAGTGGGTGCATCTATTTTCCATACAAGCTATGGTTACATGGCATTTACCAATAATAGAGGTGGTTACTTTTTTTATGATTTACGAAAGAGTTGAAACACTTATTTATCAATTCATAAGCTACGGTAATGTTCATAATGCTCAATGAAAAGTAAGACCGTCTCTTTATACACTCTGATTTTCTGTAGCCCTCAGCCCATTTTTGAGGAAGTACACTTTTATAGTTCTACTTTAATAAAAGGTTCACCGATTTATAAAACAGCTGGCCTTTTTTTCCCTCAACACTACTCAAACAGAAGTAAATAGTTCTTTTATTAGGGGCACATTTTCAGCTGTGGATTAACAGCTGTGTAGACTAGTAAGTGAGGTGATTGTGGTTTATCTGACTGACTGAAAATAGATTCTATGAACTTAAGCACTGGGCCACCTACCACCACTTACAGTTGGCTGTGGAATTAAAACGAGATGAGAACCTTCACAAACTGTCTCGTTGTGGCATCTTTTTACAGAGCCACCTTTCAAATTCAGTGAGCGCTTTAGAATGACTCATTCTTTCACAAATGTTTATAAAAGCAGAGTGCATGGTAAGGACCTAAATTTTAATTCAATTCAATGCAGTGAAATTCAGTTTTATTTATTTAACATCAAATAACAACAACGACTGGCTTGAGGCACTTTATATTCTCAGGTTAAGACCCTACAATAATAAACTCCCTATAATATTACACCTATGACAATGGGACTGAAAAGTTAACACCTGAATTCAAAGTTTCAGGTGAATAAACCCTTAAACATTTTAAAAATCTGCAGTGTTCTGTTTTATCATGTCATCAACTTGATGTAATCCAATGGTGCGAGACAAAACATAGACACAAACTATATGTGCACAGCACATGTGTAGTGTCACTAATAGGATGTGCAGGCCCTTCCCTCGAGTGCTAATTAAGATTGATCCTCTTGTGCTTTATTAGTGCGTGCTGCGTCTTCTCATGAAAGATGACAACTAGTAAGCTGCGACTTAAGTCTGTTGTTTGACGTGGGCTTATACCGACAAGCCTAACACACCAGCAACTCAGGCCATATTGTTTTGTGTGTGATGCATTTGAATGGCCTGAGAAAGCTCAGTCGGTGCACTGAAAGGAAAATCAGCATTGGCCTTGAGCTGCATCATCCACAAGACTTTAATGCAGCTGCCCGGCTACACTTAATCAATAATAAGAGCCTCACAAAGTACAGGATACACCCCACAGCTCCCATCCCACCACACAAAAGCAGATAGCAGGTAAAAATAAAATCTCTAATGGTGATATTCAATTTGTTAGTCTAGGATCTTTGCTTAGGTTTAATCTGAACCTTTGGTGTAACACTCAAAAATGCTATAGTTTCAGTTATCCTCCAGAGTGGGTTTGCTTGTTTCAGTTTACTTTATGTTTAGTTTTACAGGGTTTGTCCTGCATCCACCAAAGAGCCTTTGACATTCCTCCAAAAGAAAGAAAGGATTTTTCACCACCTTCTCTACCGAGGTTTCAATTTACTCAAGAATAAAGTAAACTTTGCCCATCACACGGACAGAAATACCAGGAAAAATGACTCTTAAAGGTCTTAAATATATGCAGACACGTGTATTTATGTGCACAGTCATCGCCCAAATGCCCATGCTGAGAAACAAAATGCCTGCTTTTAGTTAAGATTTAATTATTTTTAAGGGTCAGTTTTTGTTTGTATAATGGTAGATTGTAATGCAGTAATTATGATGTTCAGAACTGTAAAAGACAACAATACTTTGTAGTAGTACTTCTTTGTGCTGGTTGTACTCACAAATTTGAACATAGAAGCCACTTTGGCTGCTCCCTTATTCTCAAAGGTCACCACAAGAACATATACAGTTAGTTCACTAGACTCTTTCTTTCATACTCTGTTGTGTTTTAATTTTAGTTAACTATAACTTGGTGTTAACCAAATATATAACTGTTACTTACCTAAAACCCTGACATAAAAGTTGTAAAAACTGTATTGGGGCTGATAACGCATATATAATGCAAGAATAGCTTTGGAAAACCAAGTAGGATTCCTACACTACAAATAGCTAGCTGAAGCAAAATCTCCATTTGTTATCAGAGTGTGGATGATGGCCATAACAAAGCAAACTGTCATCACACTGGAAAACTACTGTTAATCTATTGCAGATCCTTGGGAATGATTCTTAATAGCTGACCGTTATAAAAGCAAGCAAAGCAGAGAGGAAATGAGTAAACAAATTCATTTAGGCCAGCATTTATGCTGACATTCGGGAGACATAAGGCACTGTCCAAACAATCAAATACTTACAGGATTAACCACTTAATCTCCCTTACCCCCCAAAATAGCAAAACAACAACAATCTACAGCTGCAGAGCGAGGACAAATGTATGCTGTTGGGTTTAATAAATGCATGAAAAGAACAGCTGTCTCCCTGTTTGTATAATTATGGCTTAGATGAAAATCAGAACACACTTTATGAATAATCAATGTAGAAATCCTTATAATTCCAACAGGGTTCATTTTTTCCTAATTGTATTTAGGTCAAAGTAAGCCCTGTTGTAGCCCCGGGGAGTAAACTCTGGATAACCAATGATAAAAGGTTCAAAGTTTCAGTGCCTGTTAGCCCTGAATCACCGTGAGAGAAAAACAGAAGAAAGGAAGACCCGGAGGCTACACAGTCAAGACTGCACCACCAAATGCTGGCAGGTCTTGAGTCACCTCAGTAAATCACAACAAAAGGGGAACTTGACAAACGCTTGGTAGACCGGGTCTAACTAACTGGAGGCAGAACACCACTAAGCCTTCTTGCCAACGCTGCTGTATTTTACAGCATAGAAATTTGCATGTGACAGTATTGCTGCCCAGAAGTGTAACCCATTTGCTTTTTTGTAGCTAAAAAAAGTAACAGGGTTACTCCTTACAGATGAAATAAACTATATGAGTGTCACTAATGGTATTATATGTGGAAAAGGCAGTACAATTACCTCACATGGACAGCACTAAAGTCCAAGAAGTTTTCCAAACAATAATAAAGAAGAAATAATTCTCAGGTGACTTGGGGGAGAGCTTTAGCTAACTGTTTGGGTTTGCACATGGACAGAACAAAGTTAAGGAATAATTCGGTTACTGGTAGTTAGCAGCAATCGGGTTTCTGTGCCTCGAGTTTTCAAATTATTCAATGTGATGCAGTGTTTATGCAGAGCAGTCCGATAAAGAAAGCTGCACTGCAGTGATAAAAGCTGCCGGGTAAGGCTTAAGAACGTGTCTGTAAAGGACTTTTAAGGACTAACTGATCAACTGTCAGCACAGTAGCTCAGTGGTTGCCTCACAGCATGAAAGATCTAAATTCAAACATAGGTAGGACCTTTCTGTGTGGAGAGTGCGAGTTCTCCCCATGTTTGGGTATCCTTTTCTCCCTCCACTGAAAGGCATGGCAGTGCTTTTAGTGTTTTTCTTGGCTCAAAAAAAGGTCTTTTAGGGGTGACTATGCACAAGAGGTCCACATATAGTTTAAAATAACCAGTCAGTGTTATCAGAGGTCCATTCATTTTCCTTTTATTTCGGACCATTTGTTAAACAAAAGTGATTTTACTGTTAACTAAATTAAAATCACACGTAAACAAATTGGTTATAAACTATTTCACTGCAGCCCTGGTGAGTTTCCTGTTGGTGAACACCAAAACCTCTTTTGGGGGTTGGGGGCACTAAATGTTTTTATGCAGGACAAACCCTGCTGCCTATTCTGGCACACAGCAAATACTCACAAAAAATAGTCAACACAAGATCCAAAAGCCAATGAAGTAATTTTTCCAAACCCCTCCAAGCCTACTTTTTAGACTAATTATCCTAGTATTATTTCTGAATTACAGCCAGTTTGCTTGCTTGGTAACTTAACTTTTATGAGGAAAAAACACTCACCATACAGTACATGACAAACACCGACATACACTCAGGGCTTCCTGCTTCCAATGCTAGAACACAGAGACTGTTATTTATTCACACACAGCTCTCTATGTAGATATAAACTCAATTCAGAAATTGAGTTTAGCACAGCCATCAACAGCCACCTCAACTAATCAGGTTTTTAAGATTAGATTAGACTCCAATGATGCTCACTTACCAGTTCACTGCAATAACAGACCTCTACATATTCACTGCTATTTCTAGTGGCTGCTGGATGACAGTTCAGCCCCCCACCCCCCACCTTTACAAGTCACAAGCAGAAATGTTATGTAGCTTTTAATTGTATCGTGTGTATTTGTGTACATGTCATACCGCACCTTTCACAGTGCCCCAGCATGAAACAAGTTTTCTGCCCCATCCTGCTGGGAGGTGGTTAGCTTGTGTGCAGGCATCCGGGCAGATAGCCATACACTCAGGGACAATGCGCACACACAGGTGACTGCTGCACATCAGGCGCAGAGCAGACCGTAAAATGAGGACGATGTGACCGCTATAGCTTTGCCAGTCATTGCGAATTTGCCCCTTAAAGACCAGCTACTATGAAACACTCACTGCAACCCGATTTAGCCACCTCTAATAAAAAAATAATGCGTTTATCCAAAGCGACATACTGCACACGTACCCCGAACGTTTTAATTACCAGCGGTCCTGTGTGTTTTCCAATGGCTGCGATCTGTTAAAGTCCTGCTTTAGGACTCAGCTCCACCGTCAGTGAGTGAAAACACAACCAACCAGCAATCCCCTCAGTTTGCAGCTACGCTAGCCCACAACATGCAGCTAGCGACCAGCTGATCACTAGCGTCGGCTTATCTGAACCTCAACTGTCAAGCTAAACGGGTGACGTTCCTTCAAATGTACGGCCTTCAATAACTTTACTGCAAATAAAGATGGCAGCTGGTGTTTCCACAGTTACCGCGGGTTCGTTGTATTTTTCCCGAGGTTGCCACTGTCATGCTAACACCAGCGATAACGGTGCGGACTGTAGTTCAGCCGAGATGCACATTCCAGCCCATGCTAACTCGCATGCTAAAGCAGCTAGCACACATTTGCTAACTAGCCACTTCCAGAGAGGAGAGCGTCTTTGGTGTACCCGCCATCTACTCACCAGTAAGCAGCGTTTGCGGCAAAATGCGTCGGTGTGAGCGTTGAAGATAACCTCCAATGTGTGAATTAAGTCGGTACGGGGCACTCCGTGTATATCCATATGTCTCAAACGATGCGTTAATCCCAAAGTGGTTGCTGCTCCCTCTCCTTCCTTTCGCCGGTCGCCATGTTTCCTCAACATCCAAATAAGCCGAGCATGTAGCCAGATCCCAGCGCCGATTTTCCTCCTAACAGCATCCTCCTCTCGGCCCCGAGCGAGGCCGCAACTGAAACACAATCCTGACATCTGTTGGATAAAAGGAAAAACACACTCGGTGGCATGGAATTAACGGGCACGCATTCAATTAATTTCCCTCTCTTTTATTTAAACTCACAGAATGTGTTAAGGCTGAAAAGCTTTTTGTTTTTACATTTCTTAGAATTTTTTTTTTTACCTCAATAGAATTATTGCACCCTTTGATCAGCACCATGGACAGCAACTGCAGTGAGCAGTCGGGGAAACAGACATATTTATTTAAGTTTGTGCTACGAACTTACATGGTCTTTTTCAACTAAACTATCACAATCCCAAAGACAACTGGAATGACTATGGACGGAACAAAGAAGACAGGCCTATTAACCACAGGTCCCCAAACACTGACTGGATGGGTCACTTTATAACAAACATCTCATTCAACAATCATTTCCAGTGGACCAACTTCTATATATATCATGCAAACATGTCATAGTATGAGTTTATATGTTCAACATATGAGTGTAACAATGGATGAATTCCTTATATAAACCTCTACTACTCAAACTACTCGCTCTTTATCTTTTGGGCCTTGTGCTCAGGGAAGTTGTAGACAACCCTGCTTAAACCCAGTATATTTATCCTGCTTTCTTCTCTCCTTACACTCCTGGTGGGAGCCACTTTTTTTGCTTGGGTTGCTAAACAAAATTTATAATGTGCTGTCCAACTTTACTGGCTATCTGTCCAGGATATACCCTGCTTTTCTCCCTACTTGAAATTGTACTTAGATTTTCATAAGACATCTCAGGCTATCTATTATTTGTTTTCTTTCTAGAACACTCATTACAATAATCACTGATACTTACAGAATTTTATAGGTGCATAAGAATAGTCTTTTTTTTTTTATCTTGGCTATGACTCGGAATGTAACTGGAATCCTTTACATCCAAATAAAAGCAAACCCTTGTTTTAAAATAAATATGTTATTATGCAATGGCTAAAATTGCTTTAAAATAAAATTAGGCTGTGAGACAAACAAATGTGATTCAAGATGGTATGCTGCATTTTTTCAATCATTTATCCTCTGAATTCTAACCTCTCTGCTATAAATAAATCAAGCTTGTAAATTTTAATCGTAAATTGTAAAATTCTTCTCACATACAAGTTCTTGAATAATAATGTCCCATTTTATCTCACAGGACCACACCATGCCAATAGAGCACTTTGCTCTATAATTGCAGGCTTACTTGTGGCTCCTATTATGGGGCGATCGTGGCTCAAGAGCTGGCAGTTCGTTTTGTAATCGGAAGGTTGGCGGTTTGAGTCCCGGCTCCGATAGTCTCGGTTGTTGTGTCCTTGAGCAAGACACTTCACCCGTTGCCTACTGGTGGTGGTCAGAGGGCCTGGTGGCGCCAGTGTCCGGCAGCCTCGCCTCTGTCAGTGCGTCCCAGGGTGGCTACAATGTAGCTGCCATCACCAGTGTGTGAATGGGTGGATGACTGGATGTGTAAAGCGCTTTGGGGTCCTTAGGGACTAGTAAAGCGCTATATAAATACAGGCCATTTACCATTCCTAAGGTAATCCTAACATTCTCCACTGATTCCTTTTGCTTTTCATTTGTTGTCACATTGTTTTGTTGTGTTTACTTGTCCAGGTTGAGTTGTGTAAAGAAATCTTGTATTGACAGTTCTGTTAGTATTGTCTTTCTGATTTTAGTTCTCTCATGATATAAAATTTGTTTGACTGTGTGCTTAGTCCTTTCTTGTCTCTGTGCTAGGTGTTTTCTTTCCAGTTGAGTTTTTTTCGGGTTTTATTTTGATAATTAGTCATATAATTAATTATTTTGTGTTTGGTATGTTGTTTTACTTCCCCCATATCTTGTTATTCTGATGCAGTTTAACTGTGTTTCTCTGGCCTGATCATCCCTCTACATATATTGTGTGAGTCTTTCTTTGTCCTTTGTTGTGTCCCTGTCAGCTGTGTGTTTCCTGTGGTTTCTGTATTGCTTGGTGTATAGTCAGTGGTTTCTACTTTACCTTTTGGACTTTGTTATTTTTTGTGCATTTAGCATTAAAGGCTTGTGTCTCCTGCATCTGAGTCTGCAACATGCCTGCCACACAGCTACACCCTGATAGTCTTCATTTATACTCCTTGCATTGGCTTCCAGTACATTATAGGATTCATTCTAAAATTCTTGTATTAACATACAAAGGACTAAATGGCCATGCTCTAGATTATATATCAGCTTCTTACAAAATACACTGCTGCTTGCTGTCGTTCACAGACTCAGAGGTTGTTAGTTGTTCCCTGTACAAAACTAAAGACTACAGGGGGACAGAGCCTGTGGACCCACAAGCTACCATTACCACTACGATGTTTAGCTGATTTAAAAAGCAGCTAATTTATTTTGTTTTAACAGGAATTATGTTGAGAATTTATTTAATTCTTCCCGCCTGTCCCGTTTGGCTCTTTAGCCATCAAAATTATTCTCTGAAGGCCAAGAAAAATGTCTTCAGAGAAGGCTTTACTAAGTGCATCATCACGGCCTTCCCGTATTGGTCCATTTGACTGATCTTTGCTATTATTATTTATGTATTTATTTTTAAAGAAAAACAGAGGGGAAGACTGACAGTGAGAGAGGACACTTAAAAAAAGAAGAAAAAAAATCACCTGGATCACATCTTGAGAGAAAAAAAGAGAAAACAAGCAAAAAGAGAGCAACACAATACACACAACCTCATTGCAATAACCTAAATAAATGTAAGTAACAGTAAATACTAAATATTGTATGTTATTGTGCAGCACACAAGACCGACAGCGCACAATGTGCTTTGAGGTAGCAGCCCAGAAGGGTGAAGTTTGTGTCTGTGAGCACCCATGTGTACACCCGTGTGGACGGGCGCGCTTTTATTCAAAAGGTTTCTCCATGTAACAATCTGCGAGAGGGTGTGGGGAGCCATAGCCCCGACCCCCAGCGCATGAAGCAGAGGAGATCCAGGCCCCAGACATCCAGAGGCCCCCAGAGCGTGAGAGCCAAAGGAGGACCAACAGAGAATTTTTAAACAACTTTTTATTTTATTTTGACTTGTTGTGTTTTTATTGAAAATTATGGCACTTAACGTTATAATTTATTATACTCTTTTAGGGTATAGTCCTTACTTACTAGTTACCATCAACACATTCCTCCACCAAAACAATCCATGTTTTAACACGTGTTCACTACATTTCTAAGTTTATCTGGGGTGATATGAAGCTCGATAAATAAAGCAATGTATTATTTAAACTGCCTGAGACTGCTGAAACCCCAATTAGGACATCAAGTTCATTATCTATCCTTTAAATCTATTTTTGTGTTTAGAGTTGAGAGCGGTTGACTCTGCACAATCCAGCAAGGAGGAGGCACTGTGGTTCAGTTCTTATTTCACTAAGGTTATTGTGAATGCTTCAGGATTGTGGGATCCTAATCACTTGACAGTGTGGTGCATTGTAATATGCAGTCAGAGTCACTAGATGACAGCAGTTCTCATTTGAACTTTACAAATCACAGCAATTCAGTGCAAATGACTACATGGGTGGCTTGTGGTTATACAAACCACAAACCACTGTAACCTCACCTAGTGGTAGTGATGCTTTGATGACTTACATGCTGTTATGCCCATATTTCTTCAAAGGTAAACACTGCCTTAGTACCATCCATTCATTGCTGCTGTATCATGAAATGCATCAGAACTTTCCGGATCAGTTTCTGCTCTTCCGGTTGGGGAATTCACTTTTGTCAGTTAAACCTTTTGTTATCTTCCCATTTACAAAAGCTCAAAAGGCGTAGTTGTAAGGTTTGTCTCTGTGAAATCACCTCAGTGGTGAATGCCATTATTACTCAATAGTTCGATATTCTTTGTACATATCAGACTTGAAAATCTACCGTCTACTCGCACTTAGGGAGTGCACCCATTGTTGCTTAGTCCAGCTCAGTACAGGTATTAGTAAAACAAACAAAACAAAAAACAGTACACCCTTTACGTTTCGATTTCTCGCTAAGAAGAACAAACAACCATTGAAACAGGATTAGGATAACAGTTCAATAAAGTCCTGAGTAAAATGTAAAATTTAAGTTTTCAACCAAAAGAACTCTGGTTTGCTTATTGGAAATATCCCCTATATGCACAGATCGAAGATGTAGACGGGTGAAAAATTAATGGAAAACAGTGTAACCCTGGACCCTGACAGGGAAGAGGTCACCTCATCCCTTCTTACAGAGAGAGCACCTTTATTCTCTAATCAAACATCTATGAGAGAATTTGGGCTCAGTTTTTTCCAACCTTATGATCAAATGAGGCAATACATTTTGGAACCCCTTAGGCATTTTTCCAAAGACTAATGAAGCTATTCTGATAACCGGAGGCTCAGTAACTTACTATTATATTAGATCTGGGGCTTTCCTTTGCTTTCCAGTGCAGTTTTAGTGCATATTGTGGGCAGAGGTGAGGTGTGGAATTTGATACCCTAATGAATAGCATTTTAAAATTTCAGTTTTTTTTCCCATCTGGCATTTGATTAAAAATACAGACGCACGTCTAATTTCTGGAAGTTATCAACTAAATCAGTGCTCACTGGGACAACAACAGGACTTCTAAAGTTCAAGATAAAGTTATGTCACAGGCTGCGTACATGCACTGCAGTATTTTTGAAAGTCAAGACCCACTGGGACTTGACCTTTGTTTTATGCTCATGATAAATACAAGTTTTTATTTGTCACGTACACAGTACAACATATATTGAACATGTGGTGAAATGCTTGTGTCCGAACTGCGGACAGGCTGCAGACGCACCATTCCAGGGTTTGTTTGTTTGTTCTTATCCAGCTGATAAAACTCAAACTTACCTGGATTGCAGTGTCTTACCAAAGGTAACAATTCAATGTGTGTCAAAGTCTTCATCTTACAAATAACTTTAATACAATAACTTCAAACATGCGGAAAAAGGTAGATATATTTTATTAAAGCATGTACAAGATG